TAAATGCCTGTCGACGAACTGCTCTGTCGACAAAATATCCTGTCGACGAAAATTATTCGACGAAGATTTGTCGACCAAGTGCGTGTCGACGAAAGAGCTTTCGACCAACAACATACTTACCGATTCGACTTGTTTATTGTTTAAGGTTGGTCTCTGGAAACTTGCAATCGTTTCGGAATGTCATCTTTTAAGCTTTGTTAAAAAGAGTACGCTTAAAAACATAGGAAGCTTGCATTAGAATTGGGTCTCGTATCTGTTTCGCTAGAAGAAACGACGTCATTAATTTGATAAAAATGTGGATTTGAAAGTGATCCATTTTATGACATTGTAGTGTTGACGGATATAACCCTATAGCTATTCGTTGGAAGAACTCTCTTCATAAGGATTTTGTAGAGAATATCATGGGCTATCTTTTGAAAAAAAAACTAAAGTATATACGTCACAATTAGAGAGATACTTGCAAAATACTAAGAGGGGCACGCATTTTGTGACACCCGTTATGTTGATTTCTACATTTATACACTCGACTAAACTCATTCAGAACTTTGTGAAGTCGTTTCGAATGGTCTCATGGACAACTTAAAGATTTATAATAAACTACTGTTGATCAAATACAACAAAATGCTTATTCATCTGTCGGATTCAAACTTCAACTTTAACCATCATCCCAAAAGGCGTTAGTAGTTCTAGGATTTCGTGCAACTGTATAGAGTTCTTTCCCGTTTGATGAGAGTTTAAAGAATTTTAGATATAAACAGAATACTAATTGTTGAAAATGCCAAGGTCCATAATTCCATGGTTCGCACTTTATATACATATACAGTGCATGATATAATCATACGTGTTATCAAAGGCCTGCGGAAATGAAACATTAAACTATCGTTTCGAAAAGATAAATATTCGACAAATTCATGATTCTTAGAAAGCTCACTCCGTATATAAACGGACCCCCGTAACTAAAGAGTTAATGGCAAGAAGTGCGCTTTCTTTATTTTACATAATCAGAAGCATCTCTAAGATAGATGTGAAACATTCTGATTCAAAAAAAAACAACGTCATCGCATTACAGGCATTTTTTAAATAGACTTCTTGTTTTTCTCTTTTGATAGAAAATAGAAAAAAATATAAGCAACCAATCATTTATCATCATTTCTTTTGACGTCCGCTATTTTGACTGCTGTTTCTAACGACTGACGATATTATCGTCTTTTTTTCCTGTTTTTTTTTTATCACGAGTACATTCGTCGTCTATGCAGCTATTTTGGCATCACTGTTTTCCAGAAGAATCGTTTTTCCTCTGCTAGTGAATAATAAGAATATTTTTATTTTTAGTGTCGAGAAAGAAACTGCAAGTGAATATCAACATATTATGGGAGTAATAAACAATATTACCAAACAATCTAATGAAAAAGAAATGAATCCTATTTCATTAGCTGATGATGAAACATCGGAAGATAATGATTTGATTTTTCCATATTCAATAATTCATTTAATCAAAGACATTAGAAATTATTCATCAAAATTACAGTGGATTAAATGCTTTATAACATCATATTATTTGCAACTTCTCATAACTTTTATCAGCTCTGTGGTCTGTCTTGCAGTTAGTAGTGCTCAAAGAGAATTCGAATATAGGTTTTATATAACACGAATTGTTCTTATTGTTCATGGCATATTTGGTCTTGTCACAGTTTTACTTCATCTCTGCACAATTGTTTTTCGGTAAGTCAATTAATTATTGTGGATCTTTCGTTTTTATAGGTACATATATATATATATATATATTAATGAAAATGTTTCTCTGAATACAGTTCACCGTTATTTCTCATGACACCATGGTCATGTAATCAACGTCAATTCATTCGTTATTTTACCATTTCAAGTCATTTATTCACGATTATTTGCATCATTTGGTTCTTTCTTGGTCATATTTGGTTTATTCAAGAACTTATATTCGTTTTCACAATGACTTATTATTACCGTCGCGAGGGAACACGATTCACAATTATTATAGTTATTATCAACTATGTTATCGGTATTTGGTTACTGTATTGTTGTATACGAAACCGAAAGAAGATTTCAAATAAATCAACAAAAAATGACAATGAAATAAATCAATCTCAAGATTTAATGATCGTCTGATTTAATCAATCAGTTTTATTTACTATTATCTGAAGGACAGATTTTCTATCTCGTGACATATAATTCTATTTATTTTATCAGTTCAATTCAAACAAACAGAACATCATTATTAATCAATTTTTTTCATTTCAAGTGCTTGTAGTAATTGTCAGTGATTTGTCATTCTCTATATACGTATATTGAATTTTTATCAAATAAATATTAATTTGTTGTACTTCAAATATTTGTCTTGATATTTATAAGGAAAGAACGATACAACTTTGTATCTTACATTACATATGTCGATATTTTCAGAATCTTAAACAAAAATTTGTTGTGATCGATATGAATATGTAGGAGTATTATCAAAAATAAAGTTTGTCGAGGCTGACTCGCTTGGCCTTCGATTGAATTAGTACCTCGATATACAATAATCTTCACAGACCTTTTCCATACAAAAAGACAGACACTCACTAGGAAATGATTTTTCGACGTTGGCTCTCGTTCATCTCTCAGTTTTGAAATCAAAGTTGAGCATTACTGTCATTTTTCTTACTTCCCGGACGTTTCTAAATGATAACCACTGTCGAAATCGAACGGTAGTTTTCTAAGAGTGGTTACTTTGATTTTGCCATCCTCGAGCACGTCTGCCTATTCTTAACAGAACGATAAATGCTGTAAAATAAAATACGATTGCTAATAAAATTCAGATACAGATTCGCTAGATTTTTTCATTCGTATATTACTGCTGAATAACTGTCGTCAATGCACACTCCCTTGCTCCTCAATTGTTTTTCCTTACGCCCCACTCATTACATAAGAAATTTTCGAGAGACACATCAGGCTGCTCGATACAGCGCATTGCAAATATAGTCTACATAAAGGGCATGCGTGTTTCTCTCCGATCCTCTACAAAAACAGTTAAGCTACTTCGACACAATCATATATGAACAAAGCTGTCAGCTGGAAACTGGCTTTCATTCATTAGAGATTATGAAAGCGAACTTGCACTGATCCTCATCTATAGACTCACACACCCAAACTAAGTCATCTAAGATGTTGAATGATTAACTCACTGTTCCATGCATCCTAGATATCCAATTTGGCAGCTTTACGCTGCGCAATACATCATTGCTCATTTTTACAATCTATCATAGTTATTGATTAGTTTCCTCGATCCTTCAATCCTATGCGTGAAGTTTCTGTTAATGTTGATCTAAGGCGCTTTCCTAACATCTTATTAAAACGTTGTTCGGTCAACCTCTGAACCAATTCCAAACCATGTTTGACTGAATTTTCAACGTTTGCGAAATTATATTTTTTTGATCTTTGTGCCTCCCTCCCCTTCATCCTGATTTGACCTAGACCCATTCTATTATCACTTTTAAATGTTTCAGATAATTTCATAAAAAATGTTATTTAGAAAGGTAAATTATATTTTGATTTGAATGATATCAAAATTCCCATACAACTATTATTATGAATTGGATAAGAACATTGTTGATTCTAATGAAATATAACTTAATAGATGAACATATGTAAATAGTTTGACATTTTTATGAGAATCAATAAAACAAAACAAAAACGATACGCATATTTATACAATATTTTCATTATGTCAAACGATGACTTACCAAATAAATCATTGTTTTATATTTCTCTTAGTAACTAGTACAATTAACTTTAAGTGACAGAGTTAAACTCACAGCAGATATTTTCGAGTTTACACTCCATAGACGATCCAATACAATTTATCGTGATTATTTTTTACATAAAAAACGCGTATCCCAAACCCATGACATCTAACACAAATGAATCTGATGATTATGTACGTTTGTGTGTACTTTGATTTTTAGCAAATCTTCCGATTGGCTTTGAAGCCCAATTCATAATTTCTGTATTCGTAACATTACTATTCGATCTTTGAAAATGCCACGCACTAGGCCATATTTTTGTCAATGTTTTGATTGGTCTTGATATTTCAACGTCTGTAAACAGCCCTTTCAATCCTCGTAGCAATTCTTGGACTATATCATCTTGTGAATATCGAGCAATCAAGTTCGAACACATACCAACACATAATTCATCATCATAAACTGTTTTGGTGACATTCATGTCTCTCTTAGCTGGATGTTGAGATAGTATTTCTATGAAACTTATACAATTTTGTCTTGTCCAAGCACGGTCAATATATTTGCCGAATAAGATGCTATTTTCTCACCATCTGTTTGACCAATCATTGACGATAATTATTGTTCTAATGGGTAAAATTGATTGAAATTATTTCGTCGATTTAATTTCATTAGCAATTGTGCCTTGAATATTTGACCAACCAAGTGGAGGTATTGCTATAATTCGTTGTTTCCACGGAAAAACTTTTATCGATATTTTCATTGATTTCTACCACAGGTTCATTTACATATAATCGAACCTGATTGAAATTGGTCGCATTGTAAAGCATTCTTTTAACTATTTGTGATAAACCTTGATGTGCGTAATAAATCGGAGCGATGAGATTGAAATATTGTTGGAGAAATTCCATATACGAATAAACATCGGTGTTTAAGAAATCGGCTCGAAATCTAAATAAATCTGTTAAGTATTCTGCTGCTTCATCACCGAGAACATGACGACAAAATGCATTGACATCTGTATATTTGTATGAACTTGCAGAATTCTTTCCGTACTCTTCTAATGACTTCACCCATAATTGATCTTGTGGATTCGTACCACTGGAATCATCTGTACAATCCAAATTCGTATATGACGTATAGAATTTTCCGCGTGTTTTAATTAATGTAGTTTGATAATCATATTGCTAGTAGGAGATATTCAATTCATCAATTAATTTTTTAACAACGGGTTGATTTGCATAAAATCTCATACCGCCGAAAGGTATTACTGGATTAGAAGAATAAGCTCATGGAATATTGTCATTATTGTCAACATCATAAAGTCTTCCGCCGACATAATTTTCACGTTCGAAAATACATAAATTATTTTTGAAACTTGGACTTAATCGATAAGCAGTATGAGATCCGGTTATACCAGCACCTAGTATAGCGATTGGACAATTCAATCTAGAAATTGAAACGATTATTCACTGTCAAAAAGGAAGATCTATACAACCTGATTTTATCTGTAATCAATGTATTCGTTGCATCGGCTAGAATTTAAAACAAACAAAGTCTTAATCGATTTCAAATAGTTTCACTGTATGCGTACGAGACAGTTTTTCTAATGAGCAGAATTCCAATTGAACTGGCTTGCTAATTGTCGGGTCAGTTATAGATGACATGATAAGATTGAATTTTCTATATCCGAACTGAAGATTGTTTAGTAATTTATTGACGTATTTTTTCCATTGAGAGTTTGTGATTTGTTTTTGTGCAGGCTCAAGAGTAAACCACAGATTGAGGGGCACACCAGAAAATAGCGAACCATCCGCACATTGTATTGAGACGAGGTTTCTAAAAAGAATCGTATAACGTTAGGTTGCTTTTTCCTTTCTGTTTTGAGAGGTTACGAACGATACATCATTAGAAATAATGAAATCATAAGAATTAATTAATAGATTGATCTGTCGTATACTTGAGTATTCAATTCAGTTATATTCTCTATTTTAACTAAATTTTGATCCGATAAATCTGTTCTGTATGTGACTGATAGAACAACAATGTCTAACATAATAGAAAACGTGGATAATAGAATAATGAAAAATATCAAATTACTTTGACCGAAACTGGGAGAGATCGCATGATTTTGAAGATATGTCAGAATTAATGATATTGTAAGAATAAATGTTATACCAGTAGCAGTTAATAAGGCTAAAGAAATACTACCCACCATTAACGGCATGACTTGCATCATGTGTCTGGAGAAAAAGATTTTAGTCTCTAATCGCGAATATTGCTCTTTCAGCGTCTATATCATGTACGATACAACTTGCATGATAGCATCTAATCATCATACTTCATTTCATTTTGCATACCCTTTTCTCTTTTTTTCTCACGTGTCTTAGTCGAACATAAGCCTATACTCACAGCTAAATTATGGTTTAAAGAACCTCATCATCGTACATTTGCACATATGACTATTGTATTATTAACGACATGCAATTTTCAATGTCTTATCGCCGATCAGTCCTTGTCACTGTACATATCTTTATACTTCTATGGTTTGATTGTTAATCTCCAAAACCTATCCGAATATTTTCGGTAACAAGCCTTAAGTCCTGATTTTTATTTTTATATCATACATGGAGGTGGGACTGGAGGCTTAAATGTTGTGTTTTATCTACATTCGCCACCACATTCTAAAACAATAGAAGACACGAAACAACATTAACTATGCATAGCAGAAGAAAGAAAGGGGGAAATCCTATGTACGCAATAGTCAGCGGGCGAAGATCGGTAATGGATTCCATATGAGCATTCGCATTCACGTACTCTTACGCGACTTGCAACGGATATGTGTTTTGAAATACTGATGCGTCCCCAGCTGACACAACAGCCGTTCGACACTTCAGAGGCTTCATCATCCATGCTCTTAGTTCAGGCAATAGGCCAACCGCGATCCAAGGAAGGGAAAACCATANAAATCCTATGTACGCAATAGTCAGCGGGCGAAGATCGGTAATGGATTCCATATGAGCATTCGCATTCACGTACTCTTACGCGACTTGCAACGGATATGTGTTTTGAAATACTGATGCGTCCCCAGCTGACACAACAGCCGTTCGACACTTCAGAGGCTTCATCATCCATGCTCTTAGTTCAGGCAATAGGCCAACCGCGATCCAAGGAAGGGAAAACCATACGAAACTGGGGAAATATGTAACATAATTACGGCGAATGATCGCAAGAGCACTTGAATAGTGTATTGATTGCATAGTGCCAATGACGACAACTGGAATCCAAGAGATTATATAGAGTCCTGACATAGTGAACAAATGAACTGCCATTCGTCGCTGTTGCTTCCATGGAAGTCTTTGATGAGCATGCAGCTTTTGCATAAGAACCCGTATGAAAAGTATTGCGTCGGATGTGAAATTGACAACTGCAGGCATTCCGACATTGAATATCCAGTTGTACATAGACAGAACTGGGTTGGAGAAAAAACAGTTCATCAATCCGCAGGCATTACTTGTGTAATTCCATAGGGTGCCATCACATGGATAAAGTACAACGACAGCGAAATCAAATGTCGTTGGATAAATAATGGCGAAGAGCAATGGTAGATTGAATAACAGTATGCGCCGTCGACGAACTCTCATGACTGTTGAATTAAAAATGAGCATATGTCGTTGGACAGAGATAGTAGCCATAAGAAATTCACTAATAGCATTAAGTGAAAAATTGCTGAAAGTCCAGAATGTACAGTAGGCGGGTGTGGCAGGACTTACGAAGTTGAGGCGGAGATAATGAAGAGTCTGTGGTAAACTGAACAGCAACTGAAGAAAGTTCGGTATGAGTAGAATGAATAGAGATTGGTTCTGAGGTGTACGCAGTATATTTCGATGACCAATAGTAAAGGCAAAGATAAGGACATAGAGCACGATAGCTTGTATTAGAAGAGAAAGTAGCAAAAAGAAAGTACCATGGTTCAATCTGGCCTGATAGTCATCGAATATATTCGTAGTATTCATCGTTATGGTAGAGTAGCGAATAGTCTAACAGATTATTTGTGTTTGTACTGTAAGTTAGACAAGTGTTTTTTTCTTTTTTAAGTATCTATGCTCGTTCTCGGGTGAAATATCTCACAAATGTATCCTGTTCATTCGAACGTATATACTTCTCGTCGGCAGCACTTTTATTTCTTTTTTCTGTAAGAATAAGTAGAATTTTCCTCTCAGGTGACTGGATGACATAGGCAAAAATTTGACAGTTAAGAAAAAATACATTGCTTAAACGATTAATATGTGATGTACAAGTCGTCGCACAAATATCTGACAGTATTAAGCCGCATTACTAAACTCTGAACTAATTAAATTTTTTTGTTATTGAAGAGAGCGAAGTCTGAAGTTCAAGTTTTTTATAAAAAAATATATATATTTGGAGACCGAATTCTATAGGTGAAAAAAATCGAAAAGAAGGCATTTCTAAGGAAAGAAATATATCGTATTATAACGCGTCAAAAACTCTGTTGGCGCAACTCGCAGGTATCGACAGATCTTAGAAAGTGAAGTTTTGCTAAAAAGAGTTTATCCGGAAGTTTACCGATCTGCAACAATGTCAGATGATAGATACTTCGCAGAAAAAAAACATCATTCAGTACCTTCTCACAGCCGGAAACGGGCAGAATGAAGTGGCAACAACTTTCTTAAAGGTGTTTGATTTTCGGCCTTTTTCATCTCTGAGATTCGGTCACGAAATATATATTTTGTACAAAACTTGCACTTCAGACTGTGATCTTTTCAACCAAAATGCACTGAACTAATTAAGAAGCTTGACAATGCGGCTTAATGCTGTCAAGTATTTCTGCAAAGACTTTTGCGTCGCACACCATGTGAAAAGATGTGTGTCGAGCGCTTTTATAATCTAAGCATTGCACAACTGCTTATCTGATCTTTCTTTTCAACTGGAATAACTACTTCCATACAGTTGATCTACCAACAGCTTACGAAACATTTTCTGGCAAGGTCAAAGTTTGCTAATCTTGATCGTGTCGCCTGAAAATTGTTGTTTAGTTCAGTCTGGAAACATAAACTAATTCTCTGTTTTATCGTCAAGAGCATCTCGTAAAATTTTTGGCTTTTACCATTTAATAGAGCATAAAGGTTTATCTTTATCGAGTTTGATAAGATAGTGTAATTATATAAGTAACGAGGGAGTATTCTTAGGTCGGCTTTTCGGTAAATTCGAACCTTCGCTGCGACTTGGGACATCCGCTCACGCTGTCATATGTTTGAGATAGATGGTATGAAACGTAGTACATCTGACAGGTTCATCACTATTTGTTTCGATACTCAAGAAAGATTTTACGATCGAAATAAAGAACATTATGAATTTCTTTCTTCT